TGTACTTCACCCAGGGGAACTGCGATCCCCCGCGATCCCCCCCCCCCGAAATGACCTCTGGCAAAGATGATTCTGCTTAGAACCCGTCTCTTCCCTGACTTTGAGAATATATTTATTTATTTATTTATTTATCGGGGGAATGCTTCTAACTTGCTTTTCTCCGTGAAATGTGGAGTGTCAAAGTGCTTTCAGTGTAAATCGATAACAACAACAGACCCTCCAATACAGCCAATCTACCTGTCACCAACCGATTAATCCAGAGGGGACTCGAGAAGTGCTGGTGTGAGAAAAAGCTCGGTCCACAGGCCCTTCCCAAGATAAACCATCAACTGTACCAACAGTCTAAATGGCCAAGATGTGTTTCTCTTCCAACATTCCAATGAAGACAGGTCTCTACAGTGTATTGATGAGGCTGAGTATGCAGACGTTTCTACAAACTGTGTATCGTTTGTCCTATCTGTTGCTGTAAGTAAAGTCCTACTCTGTAGTTTTTGCATTTGTTGATGCATCACATTAATACCGATGCTGAGCTCCACCTCTGGTTGGTCCCCTGATGTCTGCAAATCCCATTGCATTGTCTGTGGATTGCACTGCTTTATTCTGTGTAATCTGCCTTGGATTCCAGAGAGGAAGGTGGGTGATAAATGAATGCCTGAATGAATGAATTATGCTTGGTGTCATAGAATGTTACACATAAAGAAGAGTCTTCCACGGTCCTCTGCGAAAGACTTGCAAACATATGACCCCACCACCACTTTCCCTCTGCTAAATCACAGATAATACAGTGTGGCGCAAGTGCTCCCTCAGGTGGTTAAATATATAACGAAGCAGACAATAGCCCATTCTGCATCTAGCATTCATTCTGCTGCTTTCCCAAACCCATGTTGGAATACAAATTCCCGTCTACATTGCATACCACTTTAACTTTGATTGATTATCGGACTTTATGGCAGTGTCCAGACTGCATCCACTTTCACTTCGTTTGATCTCAGGTTTATGGTACCATCTGCATAGATTTATGGCCGTTTTACGGCCATTCAGGGGTGACTCTGCAGTCAGTACGGTGTTGGCCCAGGGTATTTGAATGCAGTTTTGAGCCGCATCTTTTTCTGTTCCAGTGTGGGTTTGGCAAAACAACAGAATGAACGCTAGATGCAGACTGGGCCAATGTCTCCATTTCCAGACTTCGAACTTCCACAATATTGTGTGTTTTGAGTCCTGTCGAGCCACTTCTGACTTACGGCGACCCTATAAATTAATGACCTCCAAAATTTCCTGTTGTTAAGAGTCTCGCTCAGGTCTTGCAAACAGAGATTATGCTGATTGTACTGAACGATTATATGATGATGAAACGTTCTCTCTCTTTTGATCCCGAGTAATTGGACTGTATGATCCCGAGAGTCCCTCTCCACTTTTGAAATTCATAAGAATGAATCATAGAATCATAGAGTTGGCAGGGGCCATACAGACCATCTAGTCCAACCCCCTGCCCATTGCAGGACCAGCCCTGATGCGCTGAAATGGGAGGGGAAAAGCTGCCAGAGAGCCAGATGGTTAAGCGGGCATGGACTGAAATGGAGGCCCTGGATCTAAAGCAGCCAAGGACCTCAAAAAGAAACAAGAATGACATCTTGCTGGGATTCCTTTTGTCTCTAATATCCGTACCTCTTAGGCTCCACCTATATTCATATCCCATGAGATCAATGGTGGAAAAAGCTCACTTCCAGTAGGAAAAGGTTTCCTGGGACATTACACTGTGATATGAACATAATCCCACTTTACTTTATTCCTAATGGTTGCATTAGGCCGATGGTGTCTCTGCATTATATACATCTCCAGTTCAGCAGTTTCCCTTAGGGACCAGAGGAGGTTTTTGTCTGGCTTCCCCATCTGACTGAGTCACTGTGAAAAGCATTGATGTACCACACTAAACAGTGATAATCGCCCTCATCTTCTGCCAGGGCTCCAGCGATGTTTAAGTAGCAGGTGTTCCTGGACGTGTCTTTGGAAGCAGAAAATCGAGAGGGGACTCCGGAACCCTGGCCTTTGCTGGAATCTGAGGTATACCATAGGAGGAACCTGGGGGGATTCCCAGGCTTCTGCTGGAACCAGTATACAGCATAGCCAGTGATGCCAGACCCACTGCTCATGACGCAGGAGAGCTTCACTGAATTTCCTGGTGACACTGATTCTGAAAGTGGCTGAGATATGACATCCTGAGAGTTTGAACCTGGAAAAGAATATCATAGAACCTGTCACGTACATGCTGCTTCTGTGCTGCATTCCCTTAACAATGTTTTAATGTATATTTAGAGCCTTGTCTCACCTGCACACCACATGATCAGAAGGCTGAGAATAGGAGGCCAGAACATGATGATGAGATTGGTAGGTCCAAGGAGGAAAGGAAACTGACAATACTGGATGTTCTGACATTGACAGTCCTTTATATCTGCCCTGTTTACATCTGTGCTCCGCCTTCAGGTAATCAGCTCTAATCTGATTGGTCCTGCCTGTCATGAGGATACCTAAAGGCAGGATGTGCTCTTTTTGTGAGGGCTCTATTCTGGAAACTGGGTTGGATATACTGCTTTGGTCTTAGATGTTGATTGTTGCAGGGAGGGGAATATGTTAAGTGCCTGGCATGTTTGATCACGTCCTGCTACTTTGTGATAAGTATTAAGGAACACAAGTTTAGAGACACCAGTGAATTGCAGAAGACTTTGGTTGTTGGATTGTTGGAAAAGATCCACATTTCAACCACCTTAGGTCTAATTGATGGGTTAGAAGGGACGTGTGGTACTTGATGTTGGTCGTGAAGAACTTTGAGCTCTTAGCCTCAGACTTCAGAGGCAGACTATAGACAGTCATAGGTAGATAGGTCGGGACGACCCTGAGCATCTTTCCATTATACTGCTCTGCTGCTATCCTTTTGATATGTAGATTGCTACCCCTAGGAAATCACCCTTCCCCCTGGCAGACCCCTTCTCTGACACACTCTTCTCCATCTTGGCACCATGAGAACAGGACATGCCTACTGCATCTCCATTCATCCTAGTTGGTTTGATTAGCTCAGAATCCGATCTCTACTCTATCCTGTTTAGAAAGGATTTCCTTAATGGACTTCTATTAATTGGCAACGATAACAAGGGCTCCATGTGTAACTTTGTTTTCTCAGCAGCAAAAATACCCGGTAAATGAGACCACCTTTAAGTTGTTCCTCATTACAGTCCACAACCTGTAATGGTGGAAACAATTTCTGAACGGCTCTAGGCCTTGGATTGTTCCGCACTATAGTGCACAATCTGGTAGTTTTTCTCCCCCTCCCCAGTTTTCTTGCTCTGTTGCCCACCATCCTGTCACATGTCTGCCTCCCCCTCTTCCAATGATGGTGAGGTCACATCATACACCTGCAGGTTAGTGGGTCCCATGCTGCGGCCTGGAGTAAGACCTGGTCTGAAAGTGTTCAGGACCACTGTGCTAGACAAACCTAGCTGTCGATACCCGGCCTGAGTGTTTTCCTTTTCTTTTTAAAATGGTTGAAGTCTGTGTGTTCCCCCCTCCAGTACGACAACAATCTGTGGCAGAGGAAGAGAGAGAATTTCATGGGCACCGAACATGTAAGATCACATTCTGTACATGAGTGTCAAGCAATGGAGTGTCGAGCAGGGTGTGCTTTTTTTGATAAAGTGTATTTCAACCAAGTCACAAAAAGATACTATTAAGAAAGTCACAAATGCATGTGAAACCCTGTTTCATACAATTTCATATATGAAAGACCTGCCCCCCCATACGTTTATGAAAGCTTTATTTTGTGCTTATTATTTGCACTCCACATCCTTTTTCCAGTCACGGTCTTGATCTCCTGGGCCAATCCTGCTAATACACAATTGAGACTTCAGTGGTACAGTTAGTGATGTTCACACATCCCAAACACGAGGTGAGAAAATGTTTGAGTACAAGACAAAAGAACATTAATTTTTTGCTTGGTATATTGGTGAATGTGTAAATGATTTGATGCTCTAATACTAGAGGAAGTAAAGGTGCAGTCAGAGGGCCGGAAGCTCAATACTACGATGGGCTTCAATAATGACCGAAGATAAAATTTGCATAAGAATTTGATTCTAATACTGGTTGGGAAGCCATTTCCATATGGATCCAATATAGGATAACTGTGGCAATGGGCACTGCAAAGGGCATAAGTTTATGTTCATTGTAACATGCACTTACTCATATTGTCTATTGGCTTTATTAGTCTGATGTTCTCGCTGCATTATAAATGTGTGCAGTTCAGCTCTCCTTGGGGAACATAAGAGGTTTTTGTCTGGTTTCCCCATCTGACTGCGTCACTGTGCCAAGCACTGCTGTGCCAGGTTGCACAGTAATAAACAGCCTCGTCTTCAGCCGAGGCTCCTGCAACATTTAAATAGCAGGTGTTGCTGGAGGTATCTTTGGAACCGGAAAATCGAGAAGGAACTCCAGAGCCTTGGTGTTTGTTGGAATCTGAATAATAGCGTAAGAGGTATCTTGGAGGATTCCCTGGCTTCTGCTGGTACCAGGACACATGATAGCTACTGATGCTGAGCCCACTGCTCATGACACAGGAGAACTTCACTGTGCTCCCAGGTGAAACAGATGCTGAGGGTGGCTGAGATATCACTTGCTGGGAGTTCAGACCTGGAAAAAAAAAATCACAGAAACTGTCACATATGTGCTGCTTCTGAGCTGCATTCCACTCAGCCATGTTTTAGTCTTCTCTCACCTGTGCACCATATGACGAGAAGGCTGAGAATGCGTGGCCAGAACATGATGGTGAGACTGGTAGCTGCAATGAGAAAGAAAACAAATGACAACGGAAGACCTTACGCTAACAGCCCTTTATACCTGACCTGCTGGCATCTATGCTCCGCCTTCACGGTAATCACGGCCCCCCAACCTGATTGGTCCTGACTGTCACAGGGATACTTAAAAGCAGGGTGTGCTTTTTTGATAAAGTGTATTTCAACCAAGTCACAAAAAGATACTATTTGAGTTTCCTTTGGAGCTTTAAGAAATATTTTGGGACCGCATCGAACATTTTGTTTCAGTCCTACATGTTGGTATTGGGAGGCAGGGAATGTAACTGGCCTGTATTTGAGCATATCCAGCTACTTTGTATCATAATGTAATGAGGAAATTGCTCTGCATTCTCGGTCTCGTGAATACACTGTAGAAACCTCTCTTCATTGGAATGTTGGAAGAGACACACATTTTGACCAGTTAGACTGTTGGTACAGTTGATAATTCCTGCCAACCTAGCAGTTCGAAAGCAAGAAATTGCAAGTAGATAAATAGGGACCACTTCGGTGGGAAGGTAACAGCGTTCCGTGTGCCTTGGTGTTTAGTCATGCCAGCCACATGACCACGGAAACGTCTTCGGACAGCCCTGGCTCTTCGGCTTTGAAATGGAGATGAGCACCGCAACCCTAGAGTCGGACTCGACTGTCTTTCGAGCAAGGGAAACCTTTACCTATACAGTTGATCATTAAAGCTTGGAATGGGGCTGTGGCTCAGTGATGGAGCATCTACTGGGAATGTGGAAGCTCCCAGACCAGTTTCAAGCCCTGGACCCTCCACTGAGTAGCATCAGACAGCTGATGATGGGAGGACTTCTGCATAAGACACAGCAGAGCTGCCATCATTCTGAGCAGATCATATTGACCTAAAAAGACAAATGGACTGGTAATTGATGGGTGTGGTAATTGAATAGTTTGTGTTCTTGTTGTCTCACTGGACTTAACTGCTGATGAATTGGCATATGGGAGCCACTTTCCCCCCTGTTTTTCAAAGCTTCTGGTGCTCTGGATGAATTTATCTGCCTATACTTGCAACAGTGTCCTGGGTCTATCATCGAACATTTCCTTTTTAGCTGAAGTCTGTGTACCCACCCCCCTCCAGTGCTGAAACAATTTGTGCCCCGTAGGGTCTGTTTCAGTCCACATACCTCTGCCTAGAGAAAACAACAACAACAACGAACAAAGCATTGAGCTGGAACATTACCCACCACCTGTGCTCCTTCCCTTCATGACTAGAGAAAGCAAATTTGATCATCTGCAGCATGGTACATCAAGAGCATCCTCTAGTGGTCATAACTGCAGTCACCATAATTATCCATACCATGATCTCATAGCATTCCCACCCCCCCATTTTGTTTGTAATACTGCTTTCCTATTCAAGGCAGCTTTTAGAGACATGTAGTAGTGAGGATTCCCTTCAGAGCACCTCTTCCAATCGAATTATAGGCATAAATCTGAGGCAAGAAACTGCTCTCGCCCACAGACCTCATTTGAGCTCTCTTCAGGGATGGTGGGGAAGGAAAAATGGCCCTGAAAAAGGGGCCTCAGCATCCAGCACGCACATACCAGGTGCAGGTCCCTGACTGAGGCAAGGCCGGGCAGGGCTCAGGTCCCTCATGGTGGTGAATCCAGGCAAGATTTATGTCCCTTAGTGATATCAGGCTGGGCCAGAAGAGAGTCCCTCACTGAGGTGAGGCCAAGTCTGGAGCGCATCCCTTGTCATGGCGACACCAGGCCGAGCACACACCTCTCATTGCAGTGAGGCCAGGCTGGCCACATGGTAAGGCCGGGCTGGCCAGGTGCATCCCTCACCATGGCAAGGCCAGAGCTGGCCCCGCAGTGGGCATGGTGGGTCTGAGCCCAGCACCTCAATTGCTGTGACTCCAGCTCAGGATGGGGGGTGGGTGGGGGAAACATCCACTGTTCTCTTTGGGCTGGGGTGGCCCGAGCGAGGGGGGGGGTTACCCTCAGAGTGGCCACTATTGGGGAAGTGGCTCCCTAGGCCTTGTGTGTTTTCAGTCCTGTCAAGCCACTTCTGTCTTATGGAGACCCTATAATTTAACGACCTCCAAAATTTCCCATTGTTAACGGTTTTGCTTAGGTTTTGCGAATGGAGATTATACTGATTATACCAAAAGATTATATAATAATGAAACATTTTTTGTCTTTTAATACAGAGTAATTGGACTGTATAATCCTGAGAGTCCCTCTCCACTTTTGTAATTCATAAGAATGCACTGAAATGGGAGGGGAAAAGCTGCCAGAGAGCCAGATGCTTAAGTAGGCATGGACTGAAATGGAAGCCCTGGATGTAAAGCAGCCAAGGATCTCAAAAAGAAACAAGGATAACATCTTGCTGGGATTCCTTTAGTCTATAACACCAGTATCTCTTAGGCTCCACCTATGTTCATATCCCACTAAGATCCAACATGAAATTAATGAGGAAAAAGCTCACTTCCAGTAGGGCAAGGCTTATAGGGAAAGGTTTAAAGTGATATTGCATTGTGATGTGAACATAATCTTAGGCTGAGTTCAGACTGGCAGTTTGGCCCGATGTAGGCACGTTTCACAAACGGATTAAAGGGGCCGGTTCTATCGCTTCTCGGCCTTTTGGCTAAGATCAAGTGTAGTAATGGGGAGACCAGGACTTTGCCCTGCTCTCCTGCCATGGACTATTATACTACAAACCCTCAGCCACCCCCGAGTCACGGGATGCACAGTGCATGCCAAAGTATCACGTACTAAGCCTGTTTATTGTTTTTCATATGACATGCATGCACCTGCGTTTTCCGGAGCTTGCTTGTATTTGCTACATGACATCAGTGATTGTAATGTAAACATTCTCTAAATAAAAGTCAATCTGTTCTTATCAGTTTAATATCTGATACATCCTCTATCTGAGGACTATATATTAAATGCATTTTTGGGACTGGGAGATGGATAGGGGCTTGCTCCATCCACTCCATGCATCGACCTGGTATTGCAGTACCTCCAGGAACGGTGCACCTAAATAAACAAAAAGAAAAAAAAATTAAAGGGGCCGGTTCACACAGCCACAGCGTTCAGGCATTCTCCAGCCATACTCAACCCGTCCTATGATGATTCCCTACCATGTTAAAAAAAGTACCAGGTGAAAGCCGTAGCAAACCCTGGAGAGCATGTTGATCCCACTTCCCGGAAGTGTGCATGCTAAAAGCTGCAAACAAGCCACATTGCTGCGGTGCTGCGCCTATGTGCCCATGTATAGACGCATGTCGCTGGAGTGAGGAAAAAAGCTGCTTACAGCTGTGCCTCCGCCAGGGGTGGGCCAACAGTGTGAACTCTCCCTTATAACTCCTCCCCAGTATGCTCCCGCATCAGTAGGTGCAGTGCGACCAGGGAATCCCCGGCACAACTTGGTCCAAGTCTTTTTGCCCCGCCTCCCTTGTGCTTCATACTGCCAGTCCGTCCTCAGCCTTACTTTTATTCCTAATGGTTGCATTAGGCCAATGGTGTCTCTGCATTATATACATCTCCAGTTCAGCAGTTTCCCTTAGGGACCAGAGGAGGTTTTTGTCTGGCTTCCCCATCTGACTGAGTCACTGGGCCAAGCACTGTTGTGCCACACTGCACAGTGATAATCGCCCTCATCTTCTGCCAGGGCTCCAGCGATGTTTAAATAGCAGGTGTTGCTGGTGGCGTCTTTGGAAGCAGAAAATCGAGAGGGGACTCCGGAACCCTGGCCTTTGCTGGAATCTGAGCTGTACCATAAGAGGAATCTGGGGGGATTCCCAGGCTTCTGCTGGAACCAGTGTACAGCATAGCCACTGATGCTGAGTGCACTGCTCATGATGCAGGAGAGCTTCACTGTGCTTCCTGGTGACACCGATGCTGAGGGTGGCTGAGATATGACATCCTGAGAGTTCGAACCTGGAGAAGAATATTGTAGAACCTGTCACATACATGCTGCTTCTGTGCTGCATTCCCTTAACAATGTTTTAATGTATATTTAGAGCCTTGTCTCACCTGCACACCACATGATCAGAAGGCTGAGAATAGGAGGCCAGAACATGATGATGAGATTGGTAGGTCCAAGGAGGAAAGGAAACTGACAACACTGGATGTTCTGACATTGACAGTCCCTTATATCTGGCCTGTTTACATCTGTGCTCCACCTTCATATTAATCAGCCCTAATGTGATTGGTCCTGACAGTCACAAGGATACCTAAAGGCAGGATGTGCTATTTTTGTGAGGGCTCTATTCTGGAAACTGGGTTGGATGTTCTGCTTCAGTCTTAGATGCTGCTTGTTGTAGGGAGGGGAATAGGTTAAGTGCCTGGCATGTTTGATCACATCCTGCTACTTTGTGATAAGTATCAGGAATGCAAGTCTACAAACCCCGATTAATGGCAGAAGCCTTTGTTTCTTGGATTGTTGGGAAAGACCCATATTTCGGCCACCTTAGGTATAGTTGATGGGTTAGAAGGGGGTGAAAAGTATAGTACTTGATCTTGGTGGTGAAGGACTTTGAGCTGTCTCTTAGCCTTGGACATCAGAGGGGGACTGTAGACAGTCATAGGTAGACAGGTCAGGACCAATGCTCCCTCTAAGCTGTAGAGTCTTGTGAGCAAAAATTCTACTTTGTGAGCAACTGGTATTAAAGTTGTGAGCGAGCGATTTGGCTACTGCATGAATTAGTTAGCTCTGGAGCCCTCCTTCCTGAGCCAAGACAAAAATGTGTGTGCCGGAGGCTAAAAAACTGTGAGCTAGCCCACACTAACTCAGCTTAGAGGGAACACTGGTCAGGACCCTGAGCATCTTTCCATTATACTGCTCTGATGCTATCCTTTTGATATGTAGATTACTACTCTTACGGAATCTCCCTTCCTCCTGGCTGACACCTTCTCTGACACACTCTTCTCCATCTCGGCCCCATGAGAACAGGACACACCATTCATCCTAGTTGGTTTGATTAGATCAGAATCCGATCTCTACTCTATCCTATTTACAAAGGTTTTTTCCTTACAATATTGGACTTCTATTAATTGGCAATGTTTACAAGGGCTCCATGTGTGACTTTGTTTTCTCAGCAGCAAGAATACCAAGTAAATGAGACCATCTTTAGATCATTCCTCATTATAGTCCACAACCTGTAATGGGGGAAACAATTCCTGAATGGCTCTAGGCCTTGGATTGTTCCTCACTATAGTCCACAACCTGGCACACACCCCATTCCCAGTTTCCTTGTTCTGTTGCTCACTGTCCTGTCACAAGCCTGCCTGCCCCTCTTCCTGTCACATGATGGTGAAGTCACATCACACACTTGAAAATTAATGGGTCCCATGCTGCCACCTATAGTAAGACCTGGTCTGAAAGTGTTCAAAACCACTGTGCTAGATAAACCCAACTGCTTATAGCTGACTTGAGTGTTTTCCTTTTCTTTTTAAAATGGTTGAAGTCTATGTGTTCCCCCACTCCAGTACTACAACAATCCGTGGCAGAGGAAGAGAGAGAATATCATGGACATCAAATATGTTAGATCACAGTCTGTATATGAGTGTTGACAGGACTTGCATCAAGATAGTCACAAATGTGCGTGAAAACCATTTCATACTGTTTCATGTATGAAAGACCTGCCCCACCTACACTTATGAAAGTGCTTATTACACTTTTGTGCTTATTATTTGCACTCCACATTATTTTTCCAGTCATGGTCTTGATCTCCTGGGCCAATCCTGCTAATGCACAATTGAGACTTCAGTGGTGCAATTTGTAATTTATTTATTTTTTATTTATACTTTCAGCTTGTATCCCGCTCGAACCCCGAGGGGTCTCTGAGCGGCTTACACAATTATTTGTTCCCTAACTAAGGCCACAATGTTCACACATCCCAAAAACAAGGTGAGAAAATGTTTGAGTACAAGATGAAAGAACATGAAACGGTTGCTTGGTGTATTGGTGAATGTGCAAATAATTCAGTGCTCTGTTACAAGAGGAATTAAAGGTGCAGTCAGAGAGCTGGAAGCTTAATACTGTGATGGGATTCAATAATGATCAAAGATAAAATTTTGATGGGTTTGCATTAGAATTTGATTCTAGCACTGGTTGGGAAGCCATTTCCATATGGATCCGACATAGGATAACTGTGGGAAAGGGCACTGCAAAGGGAATAAGTTTATGTTCATCGCAACATGCACTTACTCATATTGTCTAATGGTTTTAATAGTTTGATGGTGTCTCTGTACTATGTAGACCATTTGAACTCATTTGTTACGAGGGCCAGGTCTGACATAAATGTCACTTGGGCCGAACCATGTGTGTCATAAAACACAATGGCAAGTACAGGAGATATAAACTGTAAGGACAGCAGCTGATAAGCCCCGAGTTGGTGTATCCTCACTGCAAGCTCTCATGCATTGGGAGGGAGGTGCAAAGGAAAACCCGCATGGGCGGACTGGACAGCCAGTGGTGCAGCACTAGGAAGATGCTCCTACACTGCCTGACTGCTGCAGAAAAAGTTGTTCCATCATGCTGAAGCCACAATCAGGGTGGCTCCTCCCACTCCCCCCTGAGCAGTCTCCCGTTCTCTCCCTTACACTAGATGATTGCGGGCTGCATAAAAGCCCTCGATGGGCCTG